TAATAATAATAATAATAATAATAATAATAATAATAATAATAATAATAGAAGAAGAAGAACTAGAGATTCCGAGGAGCCAAATTGAGGCTGTTTATTTTACAACCTTGCACAAAGCATTAGCCTAGAGAGAGTGAATAGTGTGCCAAAATGATGCAGAACAATTAGGTCTTTATATTCCTAAGAATTTCTCTGCCCCTGCCCTGAATTCCTCATTGTCTGAGATCTTTAAAGAGGTACAGCCTTCCCAATGTCTAGTATTGACCCTTCTCATGATTGCCCTTCCTGTTTGATTTAGGATTCAAAGCCTTATCTAACGTATATTCTGTTGTATGAGGTTCCCTCCTTTTCTGATACGTGGGCTCAGTCATGTAACAGATTATGACTTTTCAATCCTAGGATGAACTGAAAGCATCTAGACAGAGGCACCAGAGGTCAGCTAGGGAAGATAGGGCTGAGTGCATTCTCCTTGTTTGTGATGTTCTGAGGCACTCTGAATGTACATCATACTAGAGATAGACCATAATGATTACTCTTCCTCTTTCTTTTCCTCCTCCTTCTCCTCTTCCTCCTGTTCCTCTTCTTTCTTCTTCTTTTTGGTTTTTCAAGACAGGGTTTCTTTGTGTAGCATAGACTGTACTGGACCCACTTTGTAGATCAGGCTGGCCTCCAACACAGAGCAATCCTCTTGCCTCTGCCTCCCTGAGTGCTGGGACTACAGGTGTGCACCACTGTGTCCGGCTAATGATTACTTCTTACAGGGAGGAGGAACTCACACAGACATAATAGGGAAGCTTGGGGTCAGCTGATGTACTGTTCTCAGCCAATACAGCCCCAAGTCCACCCCCGTTGTGTTTGGACAATGTCTTTTCTCCGTTTAAAAGTAAAATGTAAGCCAGGTACAGTGGTGCACACCTTTAGCACTCAGGCAGAGGAAGGTAGATCCCTGAGTCTGAGGCCAGCCTGGTTTACAGAGTGAGTTCCAGGACAGCCAGGATCACAGAGAAACCCTGTTCAAAAAAATTTTTTTGTATTAATTAATTAATTAAAAATAGAATGTGCTTCTCCCCACACTTTGACTTTGGATTTATCTTGGCTTGACTTGGACACTCAAATATTAGCAAAGAAAACACAAGTGAAGGTTTAAAGTACCAGATCCTCTGACTGGTTGGAAAGCAGCTCCTGAGCAGTTGCTGACCCTTTAGACTGGGTCTGCACAAATGAATCCATTTGGAACAGATCTGGCTCACCTGCAGAGAGAATCTGAGCTCAGATAGAAACAGCTCAAGCAGGATAGATAGATAGATAGATAGATGGATGGATAGATAGATAGATAGATAGATAGATAGATAGATAGATAGATAGAAAAATAGAAAAATAGAAAAATAGAGAGATACAGATTTATATGTGTGTGTAACTTATATATACACATATATGTATCTATGTAACTAGATGAGTTAAAACCATATATTCATATTGGTTTTTTATAATTTTTTTTTATTTTTTGTTTTCTGAGGAAGGGTTTCTCTGTGTGGTTCTGCCTGTTCTCAAACTCACTCTGTAGACCAGGTTGGCTTTAAATTCACTTGTATCTGCCTCCCAAGTGCTAGGATTAAAGGCATGTCCACCACTGCCCAGCTTGCATATTGTTTTTTATATTTAGCCATACATATTATATACTATACTATATATTACATACTATATTGTATATGGTTTATATATAATCATTATATATTACATATGGTTGTAACTCAGCTAGTAGGATGCTTTGCCTGGTATTCACGAAGCCCTGGGTTCAATCCCCAGCACTGCATAGACTGGACACAATGATGCATGCCCATGATCCCAGCACTCAGGACACAGAGGCAAGAGAATCAGAGGTTCAAGGTAATTTTCCTCTCTGTAGGAAGTTTAAAGCCAGCCTGGGCTGCTTAACACCTTGTCCACAAATAAATGAACGAACATATCATTGTCATCCACCACCCTGGTGTTGCTTAACAACAGTTACCTGATAGACTTGCTTTTTGTCTTGTGGTCCCTTCATGCTGAAACTACTCCAGGATGGTCCTTGCTGACCAATAACACATTGAGACTCTCAGCTAAACAGAACTGACTTTCTAAAATTTAATACACTGTTGGAACCCACTCCAAACCTCCGTAGAAGATGCTCATAAATTTAAATCAAATTCTTTAATATTTATTTAAATATTTAATATTTATTCTTTAATATTATTTATCAATTGGAAGTACATTTGACTGTAAGCAAATAAAAGACATATTCTATAGATAGAGGAATCTATCGATTTAAATGGCCTTTAAAGATGAAACTAACTTAAGGGGCTGAAGACATGGCTCAGTGGTTAATAGCATTTCCTGATCTTTCAGAGGACCCAAGGTCAGTTCCCATCACCCAATGTTGGGTGCCTCAAAACTGCCCGTAACTCCATCTTTAGGGAAATCTAACGCCCTCTTCTGGCATTCACAAGGACCTACACACAAGTTAATACGGTCAAGTCTATCTTGGAAATACATTCTTTGATGATAACTTCAAAATTCATCAAAATCTTGTATATTATTATTGTAAGACAATAAAGTAAGAATTTCCTTTGAAAAGCCCACACCCATGCCCTTGGTGTGTCTTACTTTCTTCTCAAGTGCCTCTCTATCTCTTAAAGTCTGTCTTTAAAATATCTTTTAATAAACTACTCTGGGGCCAGTGAGATGACTCATCAGGTAAAATCAACAAATCTGATGACCTGAGTTCAAACCTGGAACCCAAATGGCAGGAGAGAACCAGCTCTCATAAGTTGTCCTCTGACCTCCAACCCCCACATCAAGACACATGCACTCATACACACACACACACACACACACACACACACACACACACACACGCGCGCACGCGCGCGCGCAATAAATAATGTAATGTTAAACAAGAAATATCTTATTGGTCAGGTACAAGGATGAGTGTTCCAGCCCCCCTCCCCATTTTTTTTAACCTAATTAAAGCACATGACCATTGATGCCTCTAAGAATTTCCACGGGGAATATTAGGTCAAATAAAGACTTTGTTCTGGAAGGAGGTGTGGTTCCATGAACTTGGGGGAAGGTAGCCCATCTTCTCTGCTGGAAGAGGTGACTCAGACTTGGTCCAAACCACCTTGGTCACCTCATGATTAGCTGGTGGTATTGGGTCAGGCATAGGCCTGTGACCAAGAAGTAAAGAGAAGTGAATAAACACAGAGGTCACTTCGAGAGAATTCAGAGAAAGTATTTTTGAGTGTCGAGTTGAATATACTCCTTAAGTGATTCACTACCTTAATTTTCCTCCCTGCTCCAAGCACACCTCAAGCTTAGAAGTTCGGGCATCATTAAATGTACACAACACAACAAGCACTAAAGCAGGCAAAGCCAGAAGACTGAGAGAGTCTGGCTTTCATATGATGCCAAGTGACTGCCCCAATTCTTGACTGCTTTAATGTCAGATGCATTGAGGTTTCATTTTGCTTTTTGAGACAAGATCTCACTGTGTAGTTCAGGCTGACCTGGAACTACCTTCATAGCCCAAATTGACTTCATATTCAAGCTTATCCTCCAAGCCATCTCTCCAGCATTCTTAAAAATAAATATATGTATTTGTGTGTGTTCAAGAGTGTGTGGATATACAAATATATGGGTGGTTGTGGAGGTCAAAGGATAGCCCCTCGTGTCATTTTCAGGAATGCCATCCGCTCCTTTTAGGCAGGTTCTCTATAATTGTTCTGAACTCACTGATCCCTGCCTCCACAGCACTGGGATTATAATCCTGCCACCTGCTATGTTTACATAGTCCTGGGACCTGAACTCAGGTTCTCATGTTTGCAATGCTTTACCAACTAAGCCATTCCCTCAAGACCCATGTCTTTTTTTTTTTTTTTTTCCTAGCAAGATGTTCTGCACCTGTTCTCAGTTCTGTGCTTCAGTATTTGTTTCCTTTGGTCTTATTTCCCAGAATTTCTTTTATTATTTGTAATTAAAAAAAAAAATGGGTATGAGTGCTTTTGCCTGCACATGTGTCTGTGTAAAAGCTTGACTGCTTGGGAACATAGGAAGCCAGAAGAGGGCGACAGAAAGCCTGGAACTAGTTACTGAGGCTGTGAGCTGCCAAGTGGGTGCTTGGAATGGAACCCAGGTCCCCTGGAACCCCAGCCATTGTTCTTAATTGCTGAGCCATTTCTCCAGCTCTCCCCAGAATTTCTTCGAATAATTCTCTTGGAAAGTTCCAGCCTCCTCTCTGAATACTCTTGGATTCCAAGCCCCAGAAGTAGGCTCGCACAGCTGGAAAACTGGACACGCTGACCTAAGACATGGACAGTAACAAACAGGTATGCAGGTCCAGTAGGAATATCCACCCTATACCAGCTATGGGAACACATCCTTGCAATCCTGACACTCAGGAGGTGCAGGCAGGAGTGAATTTGATTCCAACTCGAGCTATAGTGAGTTCAAAGCCAGCCTCAAATTTGATTACTTTTTTTTTTTTTTTTTTTTTTTGGTAGGCGTGGGGAAGTGCCTCTGTGGAGGTTAGCAGACAACCTGCGAGCGTCAGTTCTTCTACCACGGGTTCCAGGAATAGAACCCAGGCCATGAGGCCATACGGCAAGAGCCTTTACCCGCTGAACTATCTCACAGGTCCACAGAGTTTCGAACTCGGAACTAGATCACTCTGACAGACCCGGCGCTTGGTCCTTAAACGCGACCCACGCTAGGTCCTATTACGCGTGCGCCGGCCGCCTAAGCGTGCTTTGCGGACAAACAGCCCCGGAAAAGCCTCCAGAGCGTGCGCACCCCACAGCCTCGCTGACACGCCTCCGGAAGCACTGGCAGTTTCGGGGGCGGGACCTGAAAGCCTTTCCTAGGGGCGGGAGGCTCCGGCGGAAGTTATCTCGCCAGGCGGCGGAGAAGAAGGCCTCGGTGCGATCGGCGCGACGCTCCAGCGGGCTGGAGCTGCGGTCACGGAGCCTTCGGCAGGTACGACAGGGATGGGAGGCCGGGCGGCCGCGCACGGGGTCGCGGTCGGGGTCACGAGCGGCCGCGACGCGGATGCGCGCCGCGGGCTCTCTTCGGCGGCCGCGAATCGGGACGGCGCGAGCGACTCCGAAGCCCCGGGCGTCCCGGCTCGGAGCCCTGCGGCCTCCAGGACGACCTCCTGGACAAGGTCACCCCGTGGCAGGTGCCCTGGCGCTCGGAGAATCCGCCCGCGGGACGACCTCCGGGTCGAGCCACCCACGCGCGAGCCGACGCCGCGAGGCAGAACCTCGCTGCGCCGAGTTTCGTCTCTTTGTCACTCCGTTCTCACCTGTTTTTGTCCCCAACCTGGCCTCTTGTCAGGTGGAGTTTCCACTTTGCATCTCTGGAGTTGACAGTCTCTGGACGTTATCTTTATCTCTGTCTCCACCTTGCTGCAGGGTTTCTTGACCCTGCTTTTGCCTCTCGGGCTGTCCTCTGGTTCACGGCCCGAATGTCACAGAGGTTTCTTGGCCATTTGTCTGTTTTTCTTTCTCTGCCAATGTTGTGTTCTTGTTTCTCTCCCTCTCAACTGGATTCGCTTAGGCAGGGCGTGCCCTGCCTGGACCTCTGAGCCGTGGAAGGTGACTCATGAGCCTGTGAAACTCCTCCGCCCGGGTGACATTCTCAGTGGCCCGACCGCAGTCTGGTCTCAGTTCTGACAGGTGTCACCCAACCTAACAAAGTGTCAGGAGCTCCTGGCCCTCAGACTGAAGGCCCATCTCAGAGTATGAGCAGTTTAGTGAATCCTGAACTTCTCTTTCCTGTGGTCTGCACAGTTCTGCTCCTTCTGGAACCTCGGGGCTCCTCCTGGTCTCCAGGGCTGTCAGGAACTGCCCCTGTTTAACCAGGCTAGCGGGTCTACAAGCTTAAGAAGAACCAGGCTCACAGCTGCCTTTGAGACCATTAGCACAGTAGCACAATTTCTAGGAGCAGCTTAGTAAAGAATTTAGAAATATAATAGGGATTCATTCCCAGCTTGTTACCAAAGTACTATCGGAGAGAAGTAAAGGAAACACAGGGACAAACACTGTTTGAAACTTTTGGAATAAAGTGTCTGGAATAGACAGGGCATGAAACATAACATTTATCTTCTTTTGTTTTTTAGAGACAGGGTTTCTCTGTGTAGCCTTACCTGTCCTGGAACTCACTCTGTAGACCAGGCTGGTCGACCTCAGACTCCCAAGTGCTGGGATCAAAGGCATGTCCCAACCACTTAGCTCAAAACATAACAATTTATCAAACACTAGAGTCAAATAGGGTGCCGTTCCTGGGTACAGAGTTTTAGGAGATGGTAAGAACATTCTAGAAATGGTTTGTGCACAGCCGTGTGAATGAAACGTGTAATTTAGAAACTTGTTTTGGAACATTTAGTTGAATCCTTTGTATTGATGCAAGCCAAGAGTGTCTCAGCAGCAGGTTCAGCCGAGGCTTAGAAAGGAGTCGGGGGTCCCAGCTGCTTTAAGTCTTAAGGCAGCAGTTTCCCCCCTCCCTCCCCTCTTGGCCCCTCTGTAATCAATGCAGAAATCTATTGAGAGGCACCTTGAGAAACATTTGACATGCAGAAAACTTGTAGGCTGGAAAAATACTTATTTATTAGAGTAGAAAATGATCTTTATTTATAGGCTGTGCATTTGGTGTTGGTTTTGGTTGTTTTTCTGTTATATAAATCTTGCTTGCCTTTAAGGTCATTTTTGGTTTTTGGTTTTTGTTGCTGTTGTTTGGTTTGGTGTTTTTTTCAAGACATGGTTTATCTGTGTAGCCCTAGCTGTCTTAGAACTCATTCTGTAGACCAGGTTGGCCTCAAACTCAACAGATCTGCCTCCTGAGTGCTAGGATTAAAGGCTTATGCCACCATGCTTGGCCTTGTTTTTTGTTTGTTTGTTTGTTTTGAAACAGGATCTCTCTAGAAAGACAGGCTGGACTCTTAAGATCCTCCTACCTCTCTCTACCTCCTGACTGCTGGGATTAAAAGACCTTTGTCACTGTTCCTGTCCCAAACTTTATAATACACATAACAGTTGATGTATTACTGTATTTCTTTGAATCTTAGATTCCATCAAGTGTTTGCTGCGTCACTAAGAAACACTGCCAGGAACAGAATCCATTCCTGTGTTTGTACTTCTTTATCTTAATTAAAAACACTTTGACTTAGAGTTTTAAAGAACAAAATCAATGCACACTATTGTTTTTATAAATGGAACAACATGAACAAATATGCATCAGTTAAAGTGCCCAGTGTTACGGGATATTTGATCACACTGTGAACCCTGAGATTGTATTGTTTACTGGAAAATCCTGCTTCTACTTGTAGTGTGGCTCAGCCCTAGCACACACCTTTAATCTAAGAGCTTTCTGCTTGACTTAAGTAAAATAAACATTCCAAGTCCCACTCCTTTGAATACCAGAGTTGCATCCATAGTTTTTCCACATGGAGTCACCCTTTATATCATCAGAAACATTAATCTCGGGAGAGCTTTAGTCATTACCTCTGCAGCCATGGTTGTTAAAACTGCAAAATATGTACTATCTGTTGTAGCCTGAAACTCCTTGAACTCCTGACCCTCCTATTTCCACCTCCCAAGAGTTAGATTTCCTGCATGGGTTGCTCATCTGACCAAATTAGCCTACCAAAACCCTCGGAGAGGGTCTCAAAATTCTTACAGACTTAAACAACATGCTGCCTCAGTTTTCCTTCCTGGTATGTCACTAACAGTAAACTGAGGAAAACCACTCTGACCCAGTGTTGAGATTTTTCTGGGAAAGGGCAACAAATTAATGGAACTCAGGAAAAACCAGAAAAATTCACCGGTGGAAAATGGAGGTCAGAGTTGGATGGAAAGCAAGCAGTAACAAGCATGCAAGGGTCCCAGCAGGCACCCTATTTCAGTGGAGCCTTTTGCAGGGTTGCCAGCCGTCGTGAAAGGTTTGGAGGTCTAGGAGCAAGAGATGTTCTAGAAGAGTGATTATGATTAGCAGCATAGATAACGCAGGCATTAGCACAGCAGGGCCTAAGGAGAACATGAGCCCGTGTGGCAAAGTTGGAGGTCCCTTGTGTGCTGTAGTGGAAAGGAGGAGGGAAGTAGATTGAGAAGTTTCTCTTTGGCGCATGGATGTCGTGTGTATCAGGTACCTGCGGAGGTCAGAAGAGGGAGTTGGATCCGCTGAAGCTGCAGTTAGTTGTAGGCAGTTGTGAGTCACCTGACATGAGTGCGGGGAACTGGACTGAAGTCCTCCTAAAGAGCAGCAGGAACTCAAACCTAGCATCTTGTATTTTCAGTGTGATTTTTCCTTTCAGAAATCAGTGTCATTTACAAAACTGAAAGATTCATTCTCTATTCATTTAGACCGCTCTTTGATGGCCATGGTATAAGGAACATTATCCCAGGAATACAGCTTTACACTAGGTAAGCTATAAATTTACATTTATTTTTACATGATTTTTCTTTTATCTTATGTATATGTGTACTCTATCTGCATTGCCTGTGTACCTGCATCCCAGAAGAGGGCATTAGAGGATATAGATGGTTGTGAACCACCATGTGGTTGCTGGGAATTGAACTCAGGACCTCTAAAAGAGCAGAGAGTGCTCTTAACCTCTGAGCCATCTCTCTAGCCCCCTAATAATGTTTTTTAAGGCTGTTTATCGTACTAATTTCTTATCAGCAAAAACAATACAGTTTGTCAAGTTTTTTTTAAATGAAGTTTTTTTTTTAATTTCTTTACTTTACACCCTGATCACAGCCTTCACTCCTCTCCTCTCAGTTCCCCTCACTCCTCCTGTCAATTTTTTTTTAACTTAAAATTTTGTTTGTTGAGTGTCTGAGTGCGTGCGTGCGTGTGTGTATGTTGGGGGGGTTGCGTTCAAATGTTGTGTCTGGTGCTCACAAGGCCAGAAAAAAGGTATCGAATCCCCTAGGACTGTTAATGGTTGAGAGTTGTCATGTAAGTGTTGGGAGCCGAACCTGGGTCCCCTGGAAAAGCAGCCAGTGTTCATAACCACTCTGTAACCCCTTACCAAGGTGTTCATGGGCTAGACCACATAGTTTCTCTGAAGAAGAAATAATGCACATTTTAAGGCTAGTCACTGTAGTACTTTACATTAACAGTATTTCTGCCTTTTTTTTTTCCCCCCCTTAGAAAAGTATTAGTTAGGGCTGGAGAGGTGACTTAGCAGTTAAGAGCACATACTGTTCTTCCAGAGGACTCGGGTTCAATTCCCAGCACCCACATGACAGTTCACAACTGCCTGTAACTCCAAAATCTGATACCCTCACACAGATATGCATGCAGGTAAAACACCAATGCACATAAAAATGAAAATAAATTACTAAGGTAACTAAATAAAAGCATTAGAGCTGGAGTTAATCTTCTGAGCAAGCCCCCCCTACACACACACCTGCTGAGGTGTGTGGCCTGAACAGGTTTTGTCATGTGAGCTTCCGCTAACTCTCTGCAGGGCCCAGGTGTACAGGCTGTGGTTTCTGGATGCAAAGCATTTGACTAACAAGAATTTTGGTAGGCACAGAGTGTTGGTATTTTTCTACATTTGTGCCAGAGTTTAAGTTTCCTAAAGCAACATTTACTGTGCTTAAATGTGCCTTCTACAGTGAGAATGCAAATTACCATATGCTCTGATTAAAGACATCCCTGGAGGGCTTCAGTACAGGAGCTGGTAGGTAGGTCTGCTTCCCTGTTTCCTCGCTGTCTCTGTACTTTTAGGGTGTTTTTGAAATGCTATCTAAGATTTGATACATAATTTTCTCAGCTGAAGAATAAATAGTGGCTTCTGTTCAGCTCATCAGCATGGCGGGATAGTAGAGGCAGTCATGGAGTCTTCAATACAAGCCCTTTGCCTTCTGTGTTATTTTGATTTTATTTTAAAACAATTTTTTCACTATTTTGTAAGTGTGTGGGCCCATGCCTGCGCATGTGGAGGTCAGAGGACAACTTGAGAAAACCAGTTCTCTCCATCCACCTTGTGGGTTGTGGAGATTGAACTCAGGCTTGTCAGCAGGCCCCGTTACCCAGTAAGCCCTATCGCCAGCTCTTATTTTTCTGCTTTAAAAAAGCCCTATAGCAGCTAAGCTATTGTGGTGCAGGCCTTTAATCCAGCACTTAGAGGTTTGAGGCCAGCCTGGTCTACAGAGAGAGGATAGTCAGGGATAGTCGGAGATACACACAGAAACCCTGAGGACCAGGAACTTACAGATTCCATGAATGAGGAATGAGTTGGGATTGTTCTAATTGTTTTAGAAGAACCATTGGAATTTCTAAATTATGTGCAAGGTGACATAAAATTGCTCTTTTAAGTCTGGCATTAGTGAATACTTTGAAGTTTATTAATAAATTGCTCATAATCTAAATTGTGGGTTATTTGGAGCTGGTATGGTAGCGTATGTCTATAATCCCATCACTCAAGAGGCCGAGGCATGCCCCAGGTTTGAGGATAGTCTAAGCAGCATAATCAGACCTGTTTTCAAGGATTATCTAGACTATGTGTGAAACATGGTCATGTTTCCCTTTCTTCTTGTCTTATAGCACCCACCTCTCAGACTCTGATTAGCCTAAGACCTTGGACAAATAGGTGAAAGTGCTGTGTGCAAAATCTGGTATAGTGACTGTGTGAGGCATTTTATACACAAGCTGCTTCTCTGTGTCTGTGGAGACTGGGTCCATAGAGTCTGCCATTCCCAGACTGAAAAATTTAGGAAGGGCTGGAGAGACGAGTGATTCAGAGCACACACTTCTCTCAGAGAAGATTCAGTCCCCAGCCCTGAATTTGGAACTCTGCTTCTGGGATCTAGTACCAGTTTCTGGGCTCTAAGTGCACCTGTGCTCACGTGCACAAACCCACACATAGACACTCATGCACGTAGTTATTTAAAAAAAAAAACAAAAAAAAAAACAGCTGCATAGACTTAATTGCCATCCCCTAAGTGGTCAGCCTGATACTGTTTACACAGTCTGTCAGGAAGTGTGAGTAATCTTGAGATGGTTCAAAATATTCTTGACATGAGGAGGTGGCATATAAACAGCCATTTTCTTTTCTTTTTTCTTTTTTTTTTTTTTTGAGACAGTTTCTCTGTGTGGCCCTGTCCTGGACTCGCTTTGTAGACCAGGCTGGCCTCGAACTCACAGCAGTCCCCCTGCCCCTGCCTCCCTGAGTCCTAGGATTACAGGCATACACCACCACCTCCAGCCAGTTGGTATTTAAGGGGTAGTCTTAGAACCAATTCCCACAGATATTGTGAGACAATTGTGTTTGTACATATTTATATATGTGTTTGTGTATGCATTAATAAACAGCTGCTGTTTTATTAATGATGGCATTTTCCTAGTTACCCAGTGTTGTATTAACTTTTCCTAGGGAGATGCGAACAAACGTTTATTCATCCCAGATAGGGCACCAAGGACAGAACAGAGTACGATTCCACCAAATTCCAACTTGGAGAACCAGTGAGTTTATTGGGCTTGCTTACAGAGCATGGGTGAGGGGTTACTTACAGGACCATGGGGAAAGCTACATTTCAGTTGACCTCTCACCTCCTGTAGTTCACTTGGGGAGTTGAGGGTGGGGGCGTGAGGGGATAATGCCTGGAAGCCCCAGTGTTGATCTTGTTCCCTCCTTCATTCATGTGCCAAGGAATGTCAGCAGCTCTATCTTCATAGTCCTGTCTGTCACTGTTGTTTTGCTTATTGGTAGCCATGGCTACTTGGCCAAGGTATTTTCTACCCCCAAATGGTAAAAACACTCCACAGTACCAGTCACACAATCTTCACAGCTGTCATTGGCAGTTGGGCATGGTGACATGCAACTCTAATCCCAGAACTCAGGATGCTGAAGCAGGAGGGTCAAAAATGTGAGGCTTTCCAGGCTACATAGCAAGACACCATTTAAAAAAAAAAACAAAAAACAAACAAACTGGCATTGGCACCCTTGGATTACTCTGTAAAATAGTTTAATAAAAAGTTCATGGAGCTGGGTGGTGGCAGCACACACCTTTAATCCCAGCAGAGGCAGGTGGATCTCTGAGTTCAGTGGTCTACAGAGTGAGTTTTAGGACAGCTAGAGCTTCTCAGAGAAACCCTGTCTCAAACAACAACAAAAACAGTTCATGGGCTGTATGAACTGTGTGAAGCCCTGAGCTGAGTCCCTACTATCTTAAATACATTAAGCATTAAGAGGTCCTTTTTAGTAGATCCACATATTTACATATGTCCTTCTCCACAACTGAATTGTAGAATTTCTGAGTTCTCTAAAATATACCCAATTTTTTTTTTTTTTTTAGGGAGGGATGTAGGCCTGAGACAGGGTTTCTCTACAACAGCCTTGTCTTTCCTGGAATTTGCTTTATGGACCAGGCTGGCCTCAAATCACAGAGATCTGCCTGCTTCTGCTGGGACTAGAGGTGTTCACAGGCCACTGATGTCATTCGCTCCCTGCTGCTTTTCTCTATCTCTGGCTTCCAACAGCCACAGAGCCACTTTACATTTTGACCCTGTTCTCTCTCTCTCTCTCTCTCTCTCTCTCTCTCTCTCTCTCTCACACACACACACACACACACACACACACATTTCATTCTCCTCCAGCCCTTCTCTGCTTCTCCCTCTCTCACTAATCTCTTCCTCCTTTCTCTTCTTTACTATGCTGAGTGTAACACTCAGAGCTTCCTGTCTGCTGCTTCCCCACCCCTGGCTTTTCTTTCTGTAGTATTCCCTGGCCTCCTGTGTTGTTACCATGTTCTTGTTTCCTGCCAGATAATCTTTTAAATGGGTGCGCTGTATTTTCTGTAGTCATTTCTTGATACACACTTTGACTGTTTCTGCTGGGGAATTTTTGAATAAATGCTGTTATGGACATCATGTGTTCTTTTCTGTTAGCAGAAAAGAGTTGAGTTGCTGGGCTACATCCCTTTAACTGTCTGAGAAACTCCCAACCCCCTTTCTGCAGCTTTTACACCATTTCCGTGCCTATCAGCAGTGTGCATAAAGGTTCTATTCTAATGTCTCCTATTTTTCATGCCATCTTAGTGGGTAAAAAAAGGGTTCCTTGTAGTTTTGGTTGTTTTAGGGAGTAGGGGAGGTGTGCTGGGCATGGAACCAAGTATCTTGCATGTAGCAGTCAAGGTACTCTCCCCTGAGCCGCATCCCAGCTCACACAGTGTTGCTCTGCTGGTGCTGAGCATTGTTCATGAGGGCCTTGCTCTTTGGAGACATGCCTTTTGGAATCTTTTGTCCATTCTTTTCAGCTGGGTTGTGTATCACTGACTGTAGGCTTTGTATGCACTTAGTATAGGTTATTCATAGTAATATGATACACAAATACAGTCTCCCATTATGTGTGTGGTCTTTTTTTGATGGTACCACTTATATCTCACAATACTGTAGCTTCCTGTCCCCAATTCTGTAAATCCCATCATGTCTCCCTCTTTTCCAGACACACTATTTTTTTTTATTATTCAAGCCTAGATTATATTTACTGAAGCCCCAACTTCATGTTTCCTCCAGCATTAGTCCAACAAATTCATTAACCTCACAACACTTTATTCTGAGATACTTGCTTCTGCTTCAGTACTCATGTTTAATGCTGAAATTCAGTGTTGTGGTTTCATTTCATTCTGCTGCTGCGATAAAACACTGTCTAAATGTATAATTTGGGAGGAAAGGGATTATTCAGTTTATACTACCAGGTCACATGACCATAAGGAAGGGAACTTTGGGCAGGAACCATGGGAATCTGCTTACTGGTTCACTCTGGCTCAATCTGGTTTATGCTGTGCTAGTTAGAGAGCCCAAGGCTTTTTGCCTAGAAAAAAAAGCCTACCTTTTTGGTGTTACCTACAGTAGGCAGGGCCCTCATACAGCAACTAGTAATCAAAGTACTTCCCACAGACATGGCCACAGGCCAATCTGATTGGGCATTTCCTCAACAAGGCTTTTCTCTCAGGTGGCTCTAGGCTGTGTACACAATTGAAGCTAACCATGACACCTGGCCTTAAAGGATGAGATGTGACTGATTCTCTGAAGATTGGTGCTGCTCTGCCAGGATTTCCTGGAGCAGGAAGTGGAGTTGCTGGTCCCTGCAGCATCTCTTCACCCAGGTTCCATCTCCAGTATCTCTGATTTCTTAAAGCCTATAGCTCACGCTAGTCTCTAGGATCTTGGAGTTAGATCATTTTTCATATCACTTGAATTATTTTTGTAAAAACATGTTATGTGAGGAGAATGAGAACCTGTCTCTACATCTGGTGATTTAAGCTTTACAGGGTTCTTCTTAAGGTGTTTGCAGGCTTTGCCTTGAATGACATGGTGGAGGAGTTTGTTTGCCCCACCAGGCTATAACACTGTAAGAATGGTGGTGCTCTCCACCATTCAAAGAAATGGTGGTCTTTTGACGCTGTCCATCCTTTCTATGCAGATGCTTTTGGCTTTTAGTGAATCTTGGAACTGATTGGTGTTTAGCCAGAAACAGCAGCTGTAGTCTAACCAGGTCATAGCCCTTTCTGAGTATGTTTAGATGCAGAGATTACGGAGCACGGCCACATCCACCAAGACTAAAGGACAGTTACCACCTTGACATAGCTAAGCAAGCTTGGCATCTTTTTCTAGTTATTTTTTTTTTCTCTGTGGTGAAATATGTGATTTTTTGGTAACTGTTGATTATTCCAGGCATTCTCACTGTGTAACCCAAGTGGGCCTCAAACTCACAGTCCTACCTAGGTTTCCATGCTGGGCTCACATGTGTACCCCTCGGTGCCCATCTTTTAATTAACTGAGTTAGAGGCATTAGCAACTAGCAATGCCACCATCCAACAGAAGTTCCAGTTCCCTTTAGCAAATTTTCAGTCTCCTTGAATTTTAAGGCAATCCAGGAAGCTCAAGGAACATTTTATTAGGATGTGAAGTAGAACAGGACAGGTGGACTGAATCTGAAAACTTCTAGAAGGAAGGAAGGAGATGAGGAAGAGGAAGAAAGCTCAGGATCAGGGCATGCTTTGGATTTGGGCCAGTGTTTGGTAAGAGATAGGAAGTTAGAAAGTAAGCAGGCTGTTTGAAATTCCGAGACCTGTAGCAGCATTGAGAGAGGACCTTCTGAATGCAAATGATCTCAATTCATGGGATGATGATTCCTGCCATCTCCTTAGCATGTCCCTAAAGTGTATCCACTTTCCGGGGGAGAGGGGTCTCCTGCCAAGGCCAGTTGGATTGCCTATTAAAGGAGGGGACAATAATATATAATGTTTAGAATGTCTTGTCTCTACCCATGGCCAGGGTAGAACTCCGGTTTTATTCTTTTGATCAAGAGAGAGTAACTTTACCTTAATGGACCTCAACTAAGCCCTAATACCTCCGTCCTTTTCCCTTTCATATGGCATTTTAAACCTTGAGGGTGGACAGTTGTGCTGTTTCCCTGTCTTTAAAGTCCATGTGTTATCAGGGAAGTAGGATAGGGAGGTCTAGAGCTAAGCCTAAAGGGAGTCTGTTCTCAAAGCAGCAAGTCTTCATTCTCAACGCAGCTGTTACAGTAGTCCACTCTTTTTTCTATTCTAACATAGTTCTCCCCCTTCTCAAACCCAACATCCTATAGTGGGGAGAAATATCTAGAGGCTTCTTAACCAGATGCTGCTCTCAGAGTTTGCATAGACACCTGGCATCCGTGCACAGTGAGCTGTTCCTTTACAAACTAGAATACCTAAACAGTTTATTTTATGTTCTATTTTCATCTTAAGTTTTAGGCTGTATAAAACCATAGGTTAATGCTTTGCTCAAGAAGCACTGTCTTATCTAAAGATTATTAATGACTGTTCTAGCATTCTAGTCTCTTTGGAGGGGCCAGGGTAACGTAATAGGAAAAAAAAAATGTAGGCTTTGGAGGTAACCTGGATTCATCTCTCTACTTAGTTAAAACAAGCTTTTGACTTCAGGAAAGCTTGAAATAAATGAACTTCAGAACTTGAGCCCTGCATTTGCAGAATAATTATAAAGACTAAAGTAAGGGCTGCTTGGAGCTCAGTGGCAGACCACTTACCTGTCACAAAGCCATGGGAGAAGAAGAGAAAAGGGGGAGGAGCCAGGTATGGCATACTCCCATAGTTCCAGCATTCTAGGGAGGCAGAGGCAGGCTGGTCTCTGTGAATTTGAGGCCAGCATGGTCTAAAGAGCAAGTTCTGTGTTAGTGAGGGCTACAGAGATGGGGTAGGAGAGAGATTAATGTACCACGGAGACAAGATGGATCTTTGGGGCTGGGTGGCCAGCTAGCCTGGAGGTTGTCTTAAAATCACAAGTGGAAGCCCGTGAGAAACAGACTAAGTCTCTGGTTTGTGTGCACATATGGCCCTACGTCCATACACATTAAAAAATAATCATATAAATTAAATTTTATTTTTATTTACTTTTCTATAATTATTTTTATTTTAAGTACATTGGTGTTTTGACTGCCTGTATGCCTGTGTGAGGGTGTTGGATCCCCTGGATCAGGAGTTACAGACAGTTGTGAGCCACCATGTGGGTGCTGGGAATTGAACCAGGGTCCTCTGGAAGAGCAGTCAGTGCTCTTAACCACTGAGCCATCTCTCTAGGCCTTATTTGGTTTTTCAAGACAGGGTTTCTCTGCATAGCCCTGGCTGTCCTGGAACTCACTCAGTAGACCAGCTTAACCTCGAACTCACAGAGATCCACCTGCCTCTGCCTCTCAGAGTGCTGTGATTACAGGCATGTGCCACCAGGCCCAGTTTAAATTCTCTTTAAAAAAAGAAGAATGATGTTTGGTCTTCGTTTGAGCTTCGTATGTTGAGTTTATATGTTGCTTAGAAAGCTTGGTATTTATTGATGATTAGCTTATAGTGTTAGAGCAGGGTCAAGCATAGCAATGATAAATGCTGTGTTTTGTGTGTATGGGGGGAAGTGTGTGCATGTATTTCAGCAATTGGTGTCTAATGTCTTCTTTGGTCACTCACATGCATATTGAGCCAAATTCTCCCACGTAGCCCAGAGTTCACCATGAGGCGAGCCCAGCCAGCTTGCTTTACTAGAATTACATGTAGGCCACCACACTCACCTAGCATTTACATGGGTGTTGGGGATCTGAACATCTGTCCTTGTACTTTGTAGGAGAGCACTTTTTCTCTCTGAGCCATCTCCCCAGCCCTTGCTCTGGGTGTTGTAAGTCTAGTAGCAGGAAGAGTAGCAACTACCTAGTAGGTCAATAAGTCTTTCAGCAGTGTGGAGACAACCAGATAGAGAAACTTGATCTACTCAAGGTGTAAGAAGCCCTTAAGGAGCTAATCTTTATGACCCCAAGAGTGACCTGTACCACTCATCAGGAGTGAGTGTTTCCTAGTGCAGAAAGACCAAGGGTATCATTTTCCTGATTCTGTGTTGGTAGTACCATCTCCCTTCTCTGAACTTGAGTCCAGTTGTCACCCTTTGTGTCTGTGTACATGTGCACTGGTTTGTGGAAGCCATGGGTCATCCTTTTGTCCTCTGCCTTATTTTTTTGAGACAGAGTCTCTCGCTGGCCCAAGAGCTGAAGTGAGGGGATCATCCTGTCTCCACCCTGCAGCGTTAGGGGTTATAGCCATCAGCTCTCATAGCCATATTTTCACTTGGGTGCTGGGGGACCAAATACTTGTCCTCATGCTTATGGGGCCGGACCTGATTCATTCCTGTCTTTGCATAGGCATCTTCCCATAATTCAGTTCTTCTTTTTTCTTTTGGAGTGTGCTTGGAGATGGAGCCCAGAGAGTCATATGTGCTAAGCGTACATTCTACCTTCCAGGTGCACCCCAACTCCCTCCCATAGTCCTGTTTCCTCCCCTAGTTTTGATAAATGTGAGGAGTCCAAGGATTACAACTGAGTTATTTTGATAAGAATCATGTTTGTTTTGATTACAAATACTTACTTTGTTTTGCTTAGAGGATTTGTATGCACATAGATATATTCACTATGGATTCTGCCTCCTCACTCATAGATAGGACAAAGTGGAGAGTTGCTATGGGGGTGATGGATGGCTCTTACTTTTGGCACCCTCAACACCTATAGGCCTGTCTCAGGGACTGATGCCTATGGATGAGTGCTCAGAGGCAAGGGAACTTGATGGAACTTGGAGACCTGTCTTGGTGCTCTGGGTGCTGGGTGAGGGGTTGATAGGCCTTCTTTGAGGCTAGAGTTAGTACTGACTTTTCTTTCTCTTGCAGCACTAAACAAGATTGGTGATGAAATGGAGCCTGGTACAAGCTCTTTTCGAGTAGAGTTTCCAGATTTTTCCAGCACCATTCTGCAGAAACTAAACCAGCAACGCCAGCAAGGCCAGTTATGTGACGTCTCCATTGTTGTCCAAGGCCACATATTCCATGCACACAAAGCTGTTCTTGCTGCCAGTTCACCCTACTTTTGTGACCAAGTACTCCTGAAAAACAGTAGGAGAATTGTTTTGCCTGATGTGATGAACCCAAGAGTGTTTGAGAACATTCTCTTATCTAGCTACACAGGACGCCTTGTGATGCCTGCTCCAGAAATTGTTAGTTACTTAACAGCAGCCAGCTTCCTTCAGATGTGGCATGTGGTGGACAAGTGCACTGAGGTTCTGGAAGGAAACCCCACAGTCCTGTGTCAGAAGCAGTGTCTTGGCAGTGACCACCAGTCTCCCAGTAGCAGTAACTACAACAGCCTGGTAGAGAGCTTTGAACTGGGCTCTGGGGGGCATACTGATTTCCCCAAGGCCCAGGAACTGAGGGATGGTGAGAATGAAGAGGAGAGCACCAAAGATGAGCTGTCATCTCAGCTCACTGAGCACGAGTATTTGCCCAGTAACTCATCCACAGAGCATGACCGACTAAGCACTGAGATGGCAAGCCAGGATGGGGAGGAAGGGGCCAGCGACAGTGCTGAGTTCCATTACACCCGGCCTCTATACAGCAAACCCAGCATAATGTCTCACAGGCGCTGGATCCATGTGAAGCCTGAGCGCCTAGAACAGACGTGGGAGGGCATGGATGTGCATGCCACATATGATGAGCACCAGGTCACCGAGTCCATCAATACCATGCAGACGGATCACTTGGTCCAGCCTTCAGACGTGGAGGAGGAGGAGTTCCAAATCGTGGAGAAGAAAGTGGAAGAGTTTGATGAGCAAACGGAGGAGAGCAACTATGATGAACAGGTGGATTTCTATGGCTCCTCCATGGAGGAGTTTTCTGGAGAAAGAGTGGATGGGAATCTAGTTGGGCACAAACAAGAGGTTGTAAGCTACAGTGAGAATATTGAAATGGTGATGGGGATAAAAGAGGAAGGGTCCCACTTAGGATTCTCAGCCACTGACAAGCTGTATCCTTGTCAGTGTGGGAAAAGCTTCACGCACAAGAGTCAGCGAGATCGACACATGAGCATGCACCTCGGTCTTCGCCCTTATGGCTGTAGTGTCTGTGGTAAGAAATTCAAAATGAAGCACCATCTCGTGGGCCACATGAAAATTCATACAGGCATAAAGCCCTATGAGTGTAATATCTGTTCAAAGAGATTCATGTGGAGGGACAGTTTCCACAGGCATGTGACTTCTTGTACCAAGTCCTATGAAGCTGCAAAGGCTGAGCAGAATACAACTGAGGCTAACTAAAAATAGGGTCTGGCCCTTGAGTGGCATGCACAAAAATAAACTATGGTAATTAATGCAAATCTGGGCACAGATGATGCGTGCCACTTGCTATTATGAGAGAAGCTTAAAAAAAAAAGATATTTCTGAAAGACCAGCTCTAAGTAGGCCAATTAAAAAATTTAATTTCTCAAATTTGTATGTTCTCATCCTGGCCTAGAATGGATGATGGGAATAAGTTCACCCAGTGCCCAGCTGGCAAGATAGCCCTTCCAGCCAATAGAGCTGAAGGCAGTGGACTTGGTGGCAGACTAGCCACCAGTTCCACTTAGGTGGCACCAGTTTTCTAGCACTCACTGTCCCCAAGTCGTTGCATTTTATTTTCTTCTGGTAGCTACGGGGGTTCTGGGCTTTGCTTTGGTAGTTGCATCACTGGATGCTGCTCACCTCAAGGCTACAGTAACCTGGCTCCTGGCTGAGCTGTGAACAGAGCACTTTTGTCGGTTTCATACCTTCTAAAGGTTCTAGCTAAAAGTCACGTTGTTTGTCTAGTTTCATACCTTCTAAAGGTTCTAGCTAAAAGTCACGTTGTTTGATAGGCCTTCTGAGTCTGAAACAGGTGGCGCTGTCATAGTGCTGCAGGGTTTTTGTTGTTTTTTAATGTGTGTTGGTGTTTTACCTGCATGTATGTTTGTGTGAGGGTGTTGGACCTCCTGGAACAGGAGTTACAGGCAGTTTTGAGCTGCCGTGTGGGTGCTAGGAATTGAATCTGTGTTCTCTGAAAGAACAGTCAGTGCTCTTAGCCACTGAACCATCTCTCCAGCCCCACTGCAGGCTCTTGATAAGGCATGATTTTATGTTCAGTTCTAATTGGGTTTGAACCATTGTGTCTCCTTTTAAGTCTATGGATGCCAGAGATAGATGTTTCTAGTTGGTGTGTTGCCCTAAGGTCCCTCATTTAATGGCAGGAGCCAGCCAGCCTGCAGTGACTCATCATGGTACTGGTAGTGTCCTGTGGCTCCCCTGCCTTAGATCATGGTGCTTCCCAACAAGGGCAGCCAGAGACCACAGCTCATGGGACCAAGCCAGAATGCATGGCTAAGACTTAACCTGTGAGCAAGGCGTGCTCAGTGTATGAGAGGCAACAGCTTATAGACGGAAGGCTTGAAAAATAGTCCCAAAATACACTGGTATGGGGAGTACTGATTTAGAGGGTACGCTGAGCAATACTGTCAGCTCTTTGTGAGAGCTGGAATGTGGGTTCAGAGGGGAAAAGGAGCCCTATATTAAGCAACGTCATCTACAGATTCATGTTCTCTAGTCGCAGAGCAAGCTGCACACATTACAAAGCTCAGTAGCTTACACTCCCATAGCCCCTACCTCCCATCCCCACCCTTGGGGCCTGTTCTGCCTGGGGTTAGATACATTCAGAAAGCTTTTAAGCATGTGACATGCCTGAGGTTTTTACTGGGTAGTAGTCTAGTTTACTTCCTTTTGCTGGGATCACACACTCCTACCTACAGCAGTTTACAGAGCATAGGGCTTATGTCAACTTACATTGCCATCATTGAGGACAGTTATGGCAGGAATATTGACCATCAAGACTGTGGGCCACAGACATGCCCACAGGCTGCTCTGATTTGGCCAGTCCCTCAGTTGAGACTCACTCTTTGTGTGACTCTAGGCTGTGTCAGACAGTAGGCAGGTGGTTGTTCTATACCATCTTTCCATAAATTTACTGGTCTATTACTGCTAAGTAGAAACTTTTCCTTAAAATAAAAATTATGTTTCTTAGTTTTGGGGTAAAATTTTGTACTTAAAGTTTGACTTTCTCTAACGTGACAGACATTTCTGGCAAGAGCCTCTGATCCTCAGGCTTTGACACCAAGGGTGCACCTTTGACCTCTGTTCTGTTTGGAAAAAGGAAGGAAAATACGGACTCGCCAGTAAACGTTTGTGATCAAGATAACAAAACAGGGGTCTATTTACAAGCACTGTATCAATCTTGATATATAAACGCACTTTGTGTTAAAACTTTATTATTATAAGTATAGATGTAGGTTTTGTTAAGCTAGAAGCTAGGTATTACCTCCTAGTGGTTTGCTGCATTCAGATGATCTTCCAGTGTCTGCCAGTCGGCAGCAGCCTTCTTTGTACCTGAGAAGCGAATGGAGGGGAGTGTACAATCACACTGAACGCACCTCCTCGTCTTCCCACATGAGAGACTAGTGGGTTAAGAGAGGACCCTAAGCTGGGTGAGGACGAAGTATTTTTGGCTTCTAATGTTTCTACACTGAGGCAGTTAATCTGCTGTCAGTATTTACGGACCACCCTCTGACTGTTGAGCAGAGCTGTGACCTGTCTCCCATTGAAATCTCTATTCATATAAGAACTAGGACCTTTTTGGAGAAGAGCCTGGGGGTAAAAGAAACACCATGGAACATGCTGGTCCTTGGGTTGTGCTGAGGCAGTACCCTTGTTGTGATGGTAACAAAGCTTTTGTTCAGTCGGAGATGGCAGACCCTGTGAGAAGGTAGGGTGTCCGAGGTCTAGAGGTTAGAGTGAGGCCTCTGACCGGCCTTTCCCGTTAGAGAGGCTTTCCGGCACCCTGCTCTGTTGCAGCACTGTGTCTCCCTCACCACCGCCTCAGGAAAGCCTTACTCTTCCAAAAGAGCTTAAATAGTCATGGGCAACATCTCCAGTGGTTCGGGGACTTCCTCAGTGGCCTGCCAGCAAGGTGTGTGTCTCTACTTTGAGCCTTGACTGGTTTTTCTCCGAAAGGGCTTCCAGGCCCCGCTGGTCGTACTTCACAACCTGCGTGCCCCATGTAGGCGTCAAGTGAGCTGCATACTCCAACTCCTCATGTGCTGGAGTTTGCCCTTAATCTGTCCTGGGGCCTGGCCGATGGCCGCCATCTCTGTGTCTCACCTTCTCCTTTAGGGCAGGCTCTTAAGAACTTGCCCTAAAGGGTCCCTTCCATTGCAGGAGCCGTTTCCTGAACTACTCGGGCCCTGGGCAGGCGTTTAGCTGTTGGGAAAGCTGCGTGCTACAGAGTATGGCACACCCTAAGAAGTTGAGGAACAAAGACTGCTGCATTCTGGGCAAGGTGTGCTGCCACTGGGTCCCCAAGGTTGGGGTGGAGCTTTGCCTGTCCCACAGATGTGGTTGCTCCCTAAACTCTGATACTTGGGGAATGCCAGGGACCACCACGGACTGGGCCTCCGGGGATATAGGCTGCTTTGACTGGTAAACTAACTTAATCCAGTGAATCCTGGGTTGCTTTGGGTTTAGTTTTCTGTTTTGTTTTCTTTCTCTGCTATTTACATATTTAAAGGTACGAGTTTGTTTCTAATTGCAAATCTCTACTGATAGTGCCCTGTGGGAAGATGCTGGAACATCATTTGCAAATGTGATTTTTTTTTCCTTTTTAAACGTAGCTTGAAGCCTGTGTCATGTCAGTTGCTGCTGCCTTTGTCTTTTTTTTTTTTTTTTTTTTTTTAAACAAGGTTCCCAATGTTTCTCCCAGAAAATTACTTTATTTATGCAAGTCGGGTGACTCTTAGGCCACAGAACTAAGGGATGGTACGCAGATTGTCATTGTTAGGTACATATCATGGATACTTTGTGAACCGCCTGTGTTTTAGAAGTTAAATAGTTCTTTCTAGAATTGCTGTCTTCTTTGTACAGCGTGGTTTGAATTGAATGTTATTGTTTAATATTTTCTTCTTATAGAAGAGACCATGCCCTTTTGTATGACACGTTTTAATAAATGTTACCTGTTCATTTTGTACAAAGTTGTGTTGTTTTTCACTCGTGTTTTGGTTCTGGCTTTTGTAGCCTAAGATTAAAGTTGTGTCATCGCCTTTTGATAAGTAAAAACTACATAGGCTGATCACAAGAGCGGTGAGTGACTGGTCTCAGTAACTGACATTATCTCACCCAAACCCACCTGCCAGGAGGATCAGGTATTTTTGTCTTTTAGTCTGCAGGATATTCTGAGTTCCCTAGTTCCCTCCTCCCCCTGGGAAGAGGCTGACTGGCCTCTTGGTTCTGTCTTTGGCTTTGGATCAAGAGCCCTCAGAGATGCTGGGCTGGGAGAAGTACGATAGGGAAGCTGAGGGACTTCACACCTGCCTCCGCTACTGCTCCAGACAGCTGAGGTTTGGTACCACGCCCTCTCCACTTGTCCCTTCAAGTGGAGATTGGTCCTGTCTCCCTGCTTTTTGTTGGCCCTCAGGTACCTTGACACCAGTGTCTGTTTCTCACTAACCCTTATTGCACAGCATAGTCTGGTGGTACCAAAATTCAAGAGCAGGCCAGTGTGGCTACCACAGGCACTGGTGGGCTTCTCTGCTTTATGGTGTCCCAGTATGCCTCATCCTGGTCCTTGCTTCACCTTGCTTTGCCCTCCTGCATCCCTTCTCCCCAAAAATCCCAGCCCTGGAAAGGCAACAGCCTTCTTCAGAGGCCCCACATACTTCGTAACAACAGCTCATTACCAGAGACACTGCTTGTTTTAGACCAAACTTAACCATCTTCCCACACAAACCTTCTGTTACCACTGTTTGTTGTGAGCGCACCCCCCACCCCACCCTGTTGCTGATATTGAAGCCAGCTCCAGATTGCCTAGACTCACTTAGTGTGCTCTAGGTGGGGAAGAAGTCCTCTAGAAGACCCTGTCTAGCCTTATTTTGAGGTGAGACTTGTCCATTCTGACCATAAGCAAACAGCACTGCGCCTGCAGCATGGTGACCCCCTCATGCCACCCCCTCCTTGAGTTCTGGTGGACAGCAGTGCAGCAGGGGTCACCCAAGAAGCAGCCACACAGCACACATCATCCCACCCCCACCCCGCAGGGTGGAAGCCACAGGGAGCAGAAGGAGGAGATGGGGTGGCATGAGTGGGAACGGAAGGGGGTGGGATGTGAAGGGTGTTACCCAGATGAGACTCACAGCACCTGTGCAGGTTTATTTAGCTTCCTTCCTAGTCGGCTCAGGGGCTGCCTCCTAAGCAACCAAAGCATTCCTCAAGACAGTCCTGGTGGCTGGAAGGTCTGTACAGCCCAGGGGTCCGTCAGCGGCTGGAAATGAGGTAAGCTCAAACCTGCTGTACCAGAAGTGATTATGTGATGAATAGCTTTATGTGCTTTCTCAGTGTAGATAAGGGAGAGACCTCTTGTGTTCTTAAAGTGCTGGGTGTGGTTCTCAATGGTGAAGTGCTTGCTTAGCCTAGAGAGGTTCCATGCCCAGCTCTACAAAATTAAACAACAAAAGCCTGTTTGAAGTTGAGTGAATGTAGTCCCTTTACTAAGAAACCACGGGGGGGGGGGGGGGGGTGCAAGGAGCCTCTGGGGTTTTCTTTGAACCAGTTGGTCTAGTTTGAGTCAAAATGAAACAATTTGGGTTTCAAATCTTGGACCACTTTTAATTTCTTCCAAGCAGATGATGGGCCAGCTGAGCCTTGCACATCCCAGCAGAGGTAGATTTGTCCTGGGGTGGAGAGCATTCAGAAGCAACACTGTAGGTAAATGTACAGTTTAAAAATAGTGACTTTTCACTTAGGCTCAGGTGATTAGGAGTTCTATTTTTTTTTCCTTCCTCAGTACTCCAGAATAAGAAGCCAGTACCAGAGCTATTAAATGTATTTATAACCTAATAAGATAGTAGTTACTCCCCAGAGGCTTCTAGCCTGCCAAATATTGCAGCTAACCTTGATGAATGGAAGCTCCAAGCTCCCTCCAGAACTGCCCATCCTGTTGCTTTGGGGTCAGCAATGCTGTGATAAAATTTCACTTATTAGGGTCCTCAAAAAAAACAACCACTGGAGACTCCAGTCACGGATGGATGTTCGGTCTGTAAACAGGACTGGGACTGGCCTTGAGTTTTCAAAGCTGCTTGCTCCCTAACGCCGACTTTACACATAATGTGCCGCTATGCCTGGTGCTGAGGTAGTGGGTGGCAATGGGTCCTTAAATTGCTGAACTGCCATCCAAGGAGAGGTACGACCTCAGACTCCAGCAGCTAGTTCTCTTCAGCTTAATTTCCAGGGCTGAGCCCCTTACTAGCTTACTCTTTTGCCTCCCTCACTTTGTTCTTTTTTTTAATTAAATTTTTATTTTTTATATTACTTACAGTTTATTTACTTTGTATCCCAGCTTTAACCTTCTCCCTCATTCTCTCCCAATCCCACCCTCTTTCCCTCATCTCCTTTCTGCCCCTCTAAGTCCACTGAGAGGGGAGGTCCTCCTCCCCTTCCATCTGACCCTAGCTTACTAGGTCTCATCAGGACTGGCTGCAATGTCCTCCTCTGTGGCCTAGCAAGGCTGCTCTTCCCGGGGGGTGGGGGGGAAGAGTCAAAGAGCCAGCCACTGAGTTCATGTCAGAGACAGTCCCTGTTTGCCTTACTGGGGAACCCACTTGGATACTGAGCTGCCATGTGCTACACCTGAGCAGGGGTTCTAGATTATATCCATGCATGGTCCTTGGTTAGAGAATCAGTCTCAGAAAAGACCTCTGTGCCCAGATATATTTGGTCCTTGTGGAGCTCCTGTCCTCTCCAGTTCTTGCTAACTCCCCCTTCTTTCATATGATTCCCTGAACTCTGCCCAAGGTTTGGTTATGAGTCTCAGCATCTACTTTGATACTCTGCTAGGTAGAATCTTTCCAAGGCCCTGATGGTAGGCTCCTGTCATGTTTCTTGTTTTCTCCTACTTCCAATGTCCATCCCATTTGTCTTTCTAAGTGAGGACTGATCATCTTACCCTAGGTCCTCCTTGTTTATCTTCTTTAGGTATACAGATTTTAGTATGTTTATCCTATCTTCTAGGTCTAGTATCCACTCATAAGTGAGTATATACCGTGTGTGTCTTTCTGCTTCTGGGATACCTCACTCAGGATGATCTTTTCTAGATTCAACCATTTGCCTGCAAATTTCACGATTTTTTTGTTTTTAATTGCTGAGTAGTATTCCATTGTGTGAATGTACCACAATTTCTGTATCCATTCCTCCACTGAAGGACATCTGGGTTGTTTCCAGGTTCTGGCTATTACGAATAAAGCTGTATGAACCTGGTTGAACAAATGTCCTTGTTGTGTACTTGAGCATATTTTGGATATATGCCTAGGAGTGGTATGGCTGGATCTTCAGGAAGCACTATTCCTAATTGTCTGGAAAGCACCAGATTGATTTCAAAGTGGTTGTACAAGTTTACATTCCCACCAGCAATGGAGGAGAGCTCCCCTTTCTCCACAACCTCTCTAGCATGTGTTGTCACTTGAGTTTTTTATCTTAGCCATTCTGCCCTCACGCTGTTCTAGAGACCCTATGTGGACTGAGTCTTCTCCACCCTTGTGCCAGCCTTGCAAGGCAGGACACTGACTTGGAGAGAATAAAAAACAGTAGCCTGACCCTGGTTGGGGAGGTAACCCAGTCAGAAGTGCTTGCCACGTAAGCATGAGAACCCAAGTTTGATGCCCATAACCTAGGTGAAAAAGCTGGGTGTGGCGGCATACCTGGAATCCTAACACTGGTGCTGCAGAGGGAGGGACTCCAGGCTGGCTGACCAGCTAGTGCAGAAGTCTAATCAGTGGGTCCCAAGTTCCTGTGGCAGAACCTGTCTTAAGAAACATGGTGGAGGGACTGGAGCGTTGGCTCAGAGGTTAAGAGCACTGGCTGTTCTTCCAAAGTTCCGAGTTCAACTCCCAGCAACCACATGGTGAATCATAACCATCTATAATGAGATTTGGTGCCCTCTTCTTGCCTGTAGGCACAAATGTAGACAGAATACTGTATAAATAATAAATAAAATCTTAAAAGAAAAGAAACATGGTGGAGCCAGAGAGATGTCTGGTAATGGCATTTGCCACAAGTCTGAGGTCTTGAGTTCAAGCCTCATGGTAGGAGAGACCCAACCAATTCCTGTAGTGTAATACACACACACAGAAAACAAGGTGGACAGCTCCTGAAGAAGATCTGAGGTCGGCCTCTGGCCTCTGCAAACACATACTGACGCACACA